TGTTTCAGGAAACTGTGTGAATTGGGGCATGATGCTTCACCTTCCTTTCGTATAAAATGAAAATATAGGCGAACTTTAAGTCCCTTTATACTTGTAGATTTCTGATCCTAGTCTTTCTGTGTGAAGTGTGGGTGTGCATAAGGTGCTGGAGACCTGAGATGATGCAGGTAGCACATAGGCTGATAGCTCACTGGAAGGACGTCATTTTATGAACTGGCTGCCTTGCCTGCTCATTGCCTTTTTCTTTTTCCGTAGCATTGTGAAGTTCTGTGAAGAAGGCATCCCACTCTTGGGAATTCTGGTCCAGTCGAGGCATTTGAGAACAGTGGTCCACGTCCTGGATAAGATTCTGCCTTTGTTCTACCCTTGCCAGTGTTACCTTCTGAAGAATGACCAGTAAGTAGAGAACAGCCCAGCAAGTACAGAATGACTGTGTCCTCTGGTTTCTAAGTGTAATATAGGGAATGATATTTCAACAGTGTATTTTTTATGAGGCAGAGAACTTCCTGCCTAGTTTAGGATGCTGAGTGATGAACATCTAATATGAAAATCTAATAATTATCTTTTTTATGTTATTGTTTTATTGTCGTGGAAGATATTTCCCTTTGTCATTTAATTTTGGATCGCTTATAGCTTATTAGCATTGAAGAGTGATTGTTTCCCCGAAACTCTGAACAGTGCTTCTGACATTGAGCAGCAAATGGCTTTGCTGTGGTATCAATATCAAAACACATTGCTTTTTATTGCCTGCAGTGTTTAAAGGGTGATATTACAAACAGAAAAGATACAGAGGAAAATGCTTATCACGTGAGACATTCATAATCTTGTTGAGAAAATAAGACTTTGGGGTAATTACAGAGTTATGAAGCAGAATATTAGCAGGGCCATGCTGGGGTGTATGGATGGCATTTGCGTTGCAGTTGGCCCTTGAACCACACAGGTTTGAACTGTGCAGGTCCACTTATGAGGATATTTTTCAGTAAATATACTGGAAAATTTTTTTTGAGATTTGTGATAATTTGAAAAGCTCACAGATGAACTTTGCAGCCTAGAAATATTGAAAAAATTAGGGAAAAAGTATGTCATGTATGTATAAAATATATGTGGATACTAGTCTCTTCTATCATTTACTACCATAAAATATACACAAATCTGTTATAGAAAGTTAAAATTTATCGGGGAGAGGGTATGGCTCAATTGCTAGAGTGCATGCTCAGCGTACGCGAGGTCCTGGGTTCAATCCCCACTACCTCCATTAAGTAAATAAATAAATAAACCTAATAACCTCCCCCCTCAAAAAAAAAAAGTTAAAATTTATCAAAACTTACACACACAAACACTTAAAGACCATATATAGTGTCATTCACAGCCAAGAGAAATGTAAATAAATGTGAAGGCACAGTATTAACTTATAACCGCATTAAAGTAACGTAGTACACACTGTACCACCGTGGTGGTTTCATGGCCACCTCCTGTTTCTATCACAGTGAGTTCAAGCGTTGAATATCCTCTTAAAACGCTGTATGTTGCTAGTCATCTCTGAGGGAGCAGTTTGTCTCTCCAGTAGATTGCACATCAGTAAAAAGTGACCTCTTGTGGTTCTTGCATCATTTTCATCATGTTTCGTGCAATACTGTAAACCTTGAATAACACCATGGGACACGTAACAAGTGCCTTTGATGATGCTGGAAGTGCTTCCAAGAAGCAGAGGAAAGTCATGACTTTATAAGAAAAAGTTGAATTGCTTGACATGTACTGTGGATTGAGGCCTGCAGCTGCGGTCACTTGTCATTCCAAGATCAATGAATCCAGTGTACAGACCATCATAAAAAAAAAGAAAAGAAAATTTGTGGAGCTGTCACTGTAGCTACACCAGCAGGCATCAAAATGTTGCACTTTTTGTGAAATACTTTTTAATCACATATTGAAAATGCAGCTTTTATGTGGGTGCAGGATTGCTGTAAGAAAGGCATACCTATGGACTCTAAAATGTTTCTAGAAAAATCAGAATCATTGTATGACAACCTAAAGCAGAAGGACGGCGAAGGCTCTGAAGCTGGAGAATTTAATGGCAGCACAGGATGGTTTGATAATTTTAGAAAGAAGTTTGGCTTAAACAATGTCAAGATTATAGGAGAAGCTGCTTCTGCCAACCAAGAGGCAGCAGGTCATTTCCCAGATGCCATTAAAAAAAAATCATTGAGGAGAAAGGATGTCTGAACAGGTTTTTAATGCAGACAGAAGTGCCCTATCTGGAAAAAGAATGCTGCAAAGGACATTATTAATAAGGAAGAGAAGTGAGCACCAGGATAATAAGGAAGAGAAGCGAGTACCAGGATTTAAGGCAGGAGGGGACAGGCTCACTCTCCTGTTTTGTGCAAATGCGGTCGGGTTTATGGTCAGGACTGCCTTTACCTGTAAAGCTGCTGACCACCGAGCCTTCAAGGGAAAAGATGGGCACCAACTACCAGTCTTGGTTGTACAAGAAGCCTGGAGAGCAAGAACTTTTTTTCTTGATTGGTTCCATCAATGCTTTGTCTTTGAAGTCAGGAAGTGCCTTGCCAGTAAGGGATAGCCTTTTAAAGTTCTTTTGACAATAGACAATGCCTCTGGCCACCCAGAACCCCATGAATTTAACACCGAAGGCATCACTGTAGTTTTCTTGTGCCAAACGCAATGTGTCTAATTCAACCTGTAGGTCAGGGGGTCATAATGCTCATTAAGGCTTATTACACATGGCGCTCTGTGGGAAGGATTGTCAACACCATGGAAGATGTTTGTGACAGAACATCATGAAAGTCTGGAAGGATTACACCATTGAAGATGCCATCATTGTGACAGAAAAAGCTGTGAAAGCCATCAAGCCCGAAACAATAAATTCCTGCTGGAGAAAACTGTGTCCAGATGTTGTGCATGACTTTACAGGATTTATGACAAAGTCAATGCAGGAAATCATGAAAGAGATTGTTGAGGGGAGGGTGTAGCTCAGTGGTAGAGTGCACGCTCAGCGTGCACGAGGTCCTGGGTTCCATCCCCAGTACCTCCATTAAAATAAATAAATAAATAATCCCCCCTGCCCCCCATAAATAAATAACAAATTCAAAAAAAGAAGAAAGAGTTTGTAGACGTGGCAAAGAAGTTGCGGCCAGGGGTGGGGGAAGGGTTTCAAGATACGGATCTTGGAGAAATTCAAGACATAATAGACATCACACTGGAGGAATTAACAGAAGATAACTCGATGGAGGTGGGAGCTTCTGAGCTGGTGCCAGATGACAAGGAAGAAAAAGAAGCAATGCCAGAGAACAAATTAACATTAGACCACATGGCAGAAGGTTCTGATTATTCAAGATGGCTTTTGACTTCTCTTGTGATATGGACCCTTCTACAGTACAGGCACTGAAACTAAAGCAACTGGTGGAAAAAGGACTGATACAGTATAGAAACGTTTTTGGGGAAATGAAAAGGCAAAGAAGTCAGAAGTTCCGATGGATTTCTAAAACTTCCGCTGAGTGTGCCTGCCTCTCCTGTCTCCCCTTCCACCATTTCCGCCTCTTCCCCCTGAGACAGCAGGACCCACCCCTCCTCTCCCTCCTCCTCAGCCTACTCAGTGTGAAGATGATGAAATTGAAGACCTTTATGAGGATCTTCTGCCACTTACTAACAGTAAATACTATGCCGTACAGTGGCTATGTGTGTGTCTTCCTGTGAAAAGCTCATCGCCATACGGCAAGAGCTGTAGGAGATGTTTTGTGTGATCATCACCTAGGCTTAGATATCCTTATGTAGGTGTGAGGTGAGTGACATTTCATACGGAATTAATAATGTGTTAGTTTTCTTACTGTTTTATAACTTTGCTTTCAAAGAGTTTTGCCAACTGTACAGTATGCCTCTCGCTCTTGTAATTGGAGAAACTACATGTCAGTGTATCATCACGAGTAAGTAGGTTTTTAAAAATGTAGTGTTTCCAATACTGTATTATGAATATGATTATACTATATTGCTGTAAATTTTTAAAAAATATTTTATTTATTTATTATTGTATTACTTATCTTTTTTTGCTGGGGGGAGGTAATTAGGTTTATTTTATTTTTAGAAGAGGTACTGGGAATTGAACCCAGAACCTGTGCATGCCAAGCATGTGCTCTATCACTTGAGCTATATAGTCTCTCCCTGCTGTAAAATTTTTATAATGATTCATTCCATAGTGTATAGGCTGGGTGATTGTGAAGCAATCATATTGATTACCCTTGGCTGCCTTAAAGCAGTCTTACTGCTGCTTCTTCAGTAGCAGTGCATGAATTGTTATACCTGTAAATAAATACAAATTTCTTTTTTGCATTGTCTTTTCATTTTTGAAGCCTAGTGTTAATAATAATGTGTGTAATATTCACAGTGTTTTGTATCATATAAGGCAGTGTCCATGTCGGTACTGACAGTTGATTCATCTTGTAGACAGATGATGTAAACTTACAGTATTGATAGAGACAGTACAGTATTGTAAGTGCATTTTCTCTTCCTTATGACTCTCTTTTCTCTAGCTCACTTTATGGTAAGAATATAGTCTGTAATATATATAACATGCAAAATACGTCTTAACTGACTGTTTATGTTATCGGTAGGGCTTCTGGTCACCAGGAGGCTGTTAGTAGTTAAGTTTTTGGGGAGTCAAAAGTTACATGTGGATTTTCAACTGTGTGAGGGGTCAGTACCCCTAACCCCATGTATTCAAGAGCCAACTGTGTGTGGTAAAAGTATACGGAATTATGGTACAAGAAATAGCTGCTTAGGGAGGGAAGGAATTAAGGATAGCTATTAATCAAGATTCTTAATGGCATATGATGAAAACCCAAAGCAGCCTTATTTTACCAGGAAGGGAATGTATCAACTCATGTTGTTGGGAAAAATGGCTCTTGGTAACTTAGGTTACCATCATTCTAAAGTGGCCGTTTTCAGTTGGGAGGATTTTGACTCTCAGGGGACATTTGTTAATGTCTAGAGATATTTTGGGAGGGGGAGGTTGCGGGGGAGGCCACTACTGGCATCTAGTGGTAGAAGCCAGAAATGGTGCTGAACATCCTACAATACGCAGGAGAGCCCCTCACGATAATTCCCTGTCCCAAAATGCCAGTGGTTGAGAAGTTGAGAGGCCCTGGGTTAGTGTTTCTCTTTCTGTTTATCTGCCCTCTCAGGTCCCTTGGCTTCTCTCTCTTTGAGCCCGTCTCTTACAGACATACTTTTTCCAGGGGAATGAAAGTACATGGCTACAGAGAGAACTGAGTGTCAATAATTTCCCCTGGGAAAGGCGAATGTTTTTCTTTATCTATTATTCCTTGTAATGATTCCTGATTGGTGTGACTTAGTCATGTTCCCTCCCTGAGCCTGTCGCTGTGTCCAGTGGGACTGACCAGTCCTGAGAGGAAGGTGTACAGGGATTCTGTATTGAGAACCACTCCCCCCTCCACCAGCCAACTCTATACAGCATAGAGGAAGGACCATTCCCTTAATGAAAGGATGTGTTAGCAGAAAGGAGACAGAGGATGCTCTGTGAACAGAAACAGCAGATGGCCCACCAATGTGACTTTATGGAAGAGGTGGGTTTCTAATTGAGCTTTGAAGTGCATGTCGACGTTGGGCCAGTGGGGAGGACGTGGCAAGGCAAGACCTTTCCAGTGTCCATAGAGGGTGAGAGGAGAGTCTGGAGAGGGCCAGGCTGGGGAAGAGCACAAGTGAGGACACGGGCGGGGAGAGAAGTACCTGTCCGGGGGCAGGCAGGAGGTCACCTGGCTGGGGCCTTCTGAAGCGCCAGGAAAGGAGAGATGAGGCCCTCTGTGGAGGGGAACATGTGGTACATCCAGAGGCACAAGGGGGACACTGCAGTTTTCTCGTTGTGTGTCATTTCAAACTGTGTCGGGAACTTGCCTGGTGATGAGAAACACCTGGGAGAGCTTATTAAGTACAAGTTCCCGGCTCCTTCCCTGAGGATCCTACCTCAGTACGAGTGGATTTGGGCCTAAGAACCTTTTAGTTTAAAACTAGCAGCCTAGGCACCAAGCGCGCCTGGGAGCACTTGTGTTCTGGTTCGCACATGGCTTCAGGGTGGTCAGGTGGGAGTTTGTGTCTCCAGTCTGTCACTTCACTAATGTGTGAACGCAGGTGAGTTCCGTAACTTTTCAGAGCCTCCGTTTCTTCATCTGTGTGATGAGGTATTACTGTTTCTCACATAGGCTGGGTGTAAGGATTAAGTGATGCACTCGAAGGACAATGATGCTTGCCTGATGCGATTTTAATTAATTGTCTTTAGGTTTTTGTGATTTTTAAGAGATTTTAAAATTAGATCGAATGGTCTATTTTTCCCCCCTAATTGTTAAACTTGGAGTAATGGTGGTCTGTCTAGGTGCTGTTTCCAGTGCTTCCTCCTCTGTGTCTCTCCCTCTCCCCTCTAATGCCTGCACTGGCTCTGTCCTCTGAACTCCCTAGGGCTTTACTGTGCCCTTCCTGCTTCCTTTCTGCTGGAGAGCAGTGTGGCCAGCGTGGTGCCGCCTGTGAAATGGGAGGCACCCTCATTCCGCAGTATCGACTGCTGATCTCTTGCCTCTGCGCTGCCCCCGTCTGTGTGGTGCGGAACAAAGCAGGCTGGGCATTGCCCTCAGGCACGCAGGACGTTACCACATCCTCAGGATGCAGTTACCAATTTGAAGGACCATGAAGGAAGACAGCGGGTGCTATGAGAGAGAATAATGGAATAGACATATGTTAGATGGCGGGGAGGGGTCAGAAAGTCTTCTCTGAGGAAGGGACATTGCAGGTGAGACGTGAGGGATGAGTAGGCGTTCGCCAGGTTAGGTGTGGGGAAGTGTTCCAGGCAAAGGCCCTGAGAGAGGAGGGAGCCTGGTGCATCCAGGGAACTGAGGGCACGTCTGTGACTTAACTGCGGTGATGTATTCCTCCCAAATCCCCCACGTGCCACCTTGTGTGGAGTTGACAACCAGCAAAAGATTGCAGAATGATCCTGTAGACACCTCTGCTCTTGTCTGGGAGTGGGGAGGGGACAGAGTGGCTCTTTCACTTGCACGTGTTTGTACTTCTTAGGTCTGTTCACTGCACGTCTGCAGGTGGGCGGGTTTAATCCACGGTGAACTGGAAAACTTTGTTCTTCTGAAATTCCTGAAGATTTATCAGAATCCCTAAATTGAGCTTTGGCCCCAAAATGGGACCACTTCGATATTTTTCTTGCTTTCTCACAAGCAGTGAGCCACTGGAAATTCTGTTGCTTCCGAGTAGAAAGTAAAGTGTGTTGTTCTGTGTACTTGGCAGGTTTCTGTCACACCTCCTCCTGTTCCTACACTTGGACAGTGGTGTCCCTCAGGGTGTCACGCAGCAGGTCACCCACAAGGTGGCTCAGCACCTGATGGGAGCCAGCCATGGCGACAACGTGAAGCTTCTCAACAGCATGATCCAGGTCAGGGCCCTAGTCGGACCCTAATCCATCCCCACCCACCTTCCCAATCAGACCCCAAATGCCAGCACATCCGTGTGTTGGTCATTTCAGAGCACTTGCCATAGTGCTTTTGGCCAAGAGAGTTAACAGATCTGGGTTTTGTTAGTGTTTTAAAAATGAGAGGCTGATTATTAACCTTTCACATCATCTGGACCCTTTCTCCGTAGGCCCACATTTCTGTAAGCACTCAGCCCAATGAAGTGGGCCCGGTTGCTGTATTGGAGTTCTGGGTTCAAGCTCTTATAAGCCAACATCTTTGGTACCGAGAACAACCCATCCTCTTCCTCATGGACCATTTGTGTAAAACAGCTTTCCAGCTGATGCAGGAAGACTGTGTGCAGAAATTGCTCTACCAGCAACATAAGGTGAACCTGTTAGAGAATTTATCTTTCGGTCATCAGCTAGGTAGTAGCCTTCTGGGAAGGTTCCCGCACGCACTTTTCTCGATCCTGCTCTGGCTGTTGCCTTTTTTAAGCTTTGTCTTAGCGGTATTTTACCCAGTAACCATAGCCTGCTAGCTCACATCCTTGTAAAGCCACACGAAGGACCCCCAGGAAGAGCCCTGCTCGTTACATTAGGCTATAACGTGCTGCCTGGGACTGTCACTGCTGGTGGCCAGTGACAGAAATCTGTATCTTACCAGAATCTTCCATTATAGTAAGATGATTGCTAATATTCTTGAAAAGCTCATTGATTCAGTTTTTTAAAGCCTCCTCTCTCTACTCCACATGCTCTCCCTGGTGAAGAATGCTTTGGGGTACCACTGTGACCGGAGTCTCCTCTCCTCCTTGGTGAGCTGGATCGTTGCCGGCAACATCACCCCTTCCTTTGTGGAGGGCTTGGCCACGTCCACTCAGGTAGGCAGTCCACTGCGGACCGTTTGTTATTTTTGTGAGCTTTAATATTGTTATCATCCTTATTAATACATTACTACTAACCTAAAATAACTAACATCTATTTAGTGCTTACTATGTGTAAGAATCCTTTTCCGTTTAATCCTCACTATAGCTCCCTGCTGAGGTACCACTGCTGCTCCTGTTTCACAGAGGAGTTAACTGAGGTTCCTGGAGTCAAGCGGCCGCCCCAGGGTCAGACAGCTCCACATCAGACTCCACCTGCCTGCCTGCAGAGCCCGGCCGGCAGCAGGGCAGGGTTAAGAGCGGGCGCTGGAGCCAGACCGCCTGGGCTTTAGTCTCAGTTGTGCTATTTGCTAGCGCTGTGCCTTGGGCAGCTGGCTTACCTCTGCGTCCTCAGTTTCCCTGTCTGTCCAATGGGAATAATGATCACACCTCCATGTAAACCACTCAGAACAGTGCTTCCCAGGTGTTGGCTGCTACGGTTGTTGTCATTATCATTAATTAACAGCATTATTTTCATTATTGTTACCACCTCTCAGACTGTGTGTCCAGTTGTGCGTCACTTAAATCAGTGGTGACATCTGTCACCTTCCTATGATAGTCTTACCTCCTGCTCTTCATACCTCTTGTGGGCCAGCTGAAACACACTCCGTGCTGCCACCTTGCGTGCATCTCTGGCATTCCCATCTCTGCCTCACTGATGCTCTTACCAGGCATGCCCTCCCCTCCAGGCCCCAAGCTGAGCCTTCTCTGATGTAGCTGCCTTCTCTGACCGCGCCCTTCCTCCTCTGGTTTCCCATAGCACTTGGCCCCTGATTTAATACTCATACTTCTCACTTTACATTTTGGTTACTTATATATTAGTCTTGTCTCCTCTGGTCAATGGAAGACTTCCTGAGGTCGGAGCTCACGTGTGGTCCTCTTTCCTGCCCTCTGCATGCACGACCTGCCCACTAGATACTGTTGAGCGAACTAACATCCTCTGTTACTACAGTAGCCTTTCCAAAGGAACATAACATTTTTCAGTGACCTACTTTGTCTAAATTTATAAGAATAGAAATAGGTATAAAAACTATATGTTGGCGGGGAGGGTATAGCTCAAGTGGTAGAGCGCATGCTTAGCATGCACAAGGTCCTGGGTTCAATCCCCAGTCCCTCCTCCACATAGAGATAAATCAGTAAACTTAATTACCTCCCCCTCATAAAATAAATCTGAAAAAAAAAGTTTAAAAAGCAAAACAAAACTGTGTGTTAATTTCAGACAGTATAAATAATTTTTGAGATTTATGACCGAAAAGATGTTGATCTGTGGCGTATCAGCATGTGCTTTGTGTGAGTCAGCAGCTCATCCCCCTCGCCTTTGCCTGGTGTCACTGTAGGTCTGGTTTGCGTGGACCGTCCTGAACGTGGAATCCATCTTTGAAGAAGACTCCCAGCTCCGAAGAGTTGTTGAAGGGGAGCTGGTCATAAACGCTGCGTTCGGCCCCGACCAGGCTCTGAAGGTGCAAATAGCGGTTCCGCATTTGAGTGGTAGAAGGTGGTTCACACTTGGATGCTGACGGATTCCCCTAGAGCTTTTGGGCAGAAGGGTTTTCTTTTGTTGCGACTGTTTGGAAAACACAATGACCAAACTAATGCTTAACATGGTTTAACTGAAGTATATACTTTTTTCCTAAGATTAATTTAACATTGCGAGTCACAACCTAATAGTTTGAGGCTGTGTTCATTGCATGTACAGAGGGGATTGCCATTGTTTTGAACCCCTGGAGAGCTTGTTAAAAAGCAGACTCCTGGACCCCATTTTCTGAGTTTCTGAGTCTGGAGTGGGACCAGGAGTTTATTTTTAAAAACTCCCTAGCTGATCCTTAGCCTCACTTTATGAAGTGTGGGAAAGTCTGGAATAAGGCTTTAGAATTAAAGACCTTCTATTTTAGGGTCCTATAGTGTGCACTTTGCTTTTGGATTTCAGAGCCTGTCAAGGAGTTTATCATTCTTGAAAGCCCATTTAAAATCTGAATTTTCAAGATAAACTTTGACAGTAAAATTTAGTTTGGTTTTCATATTATTCTACTCCCTTGTGCTGTAGTGTTTTATATGGAAACAAAATTAGATGAGGTGATGCTCAAGACCCATTCCAATTCTGGGCTCTGTGAAATTTTTGCCAAAAACCCCTAAAAAGCTGCCTCACATCTTGCTACTAAGAAGGTGAAAGTGTTAGCTAGTGGGTTAGAGAAGTAAGGTTTATGTGACTTTTTTATTTTTAACTGAATTGAAAACAAAATGTTTTCATTTGGATCACATAGAAAGAGGTGACTGCTTGCAGTTGTGGTTGTTTCATGGTTGCTCAAAGCCGCACCTCTTTTGTAGAAAGCCCAGGCCCAGCTGAAGCTCCCCATCGTCCCCTCCCTCCAGAGGCTGCTGATTTATCGTTGGGCCCACCAGGCTCTCGTCACGCCTTCCGACCATCCCCTTCTGCCGCTCATTTGGCAGAAGTTCTTCCTCCTGTATCTTCACCGCCCAGGACCACAGTACGGGTATGGTACCCAGGGTGGTACTTTACGTGAATCAGTTCCTGCCTTTGCACTGACTGCTCTGCTGCTCTGTGTTGTCACACTGTGGCGTGTGAGTTAGAGTCGTTCTCTGACTAGGAACCTCTCTCCTGTCCTGTTTCACATCTGTTAGACTCGACCTTTTCTGAGGTCAGGGTATCTTGTGACAGCCCTCTCTCTTTACCACCCCCAAACCCAGTGTGGTGAAGGCCACACCCTGGAACTGAGCAAGGATTAGCAGAGAGCCTCTGGAGATGCAAAGGGAGAGAAACTGTCCCAAACCGAGGCTGCTTGTGTGACTGTCTTGGGGCTTATTTGAGGGGACCTGTGATGGGTACGCCAGGCTGTGCCTGGGGTGGATGGGCTGGGGTGTCCGGCATTTCCGCTGGGAGTAAAGGGACTCTGGCCAGCTGGACCTGCCCACTGTCACTGACCACTGCTGTCTGGCTTCAGCTCCATTCCGGGTTCACCACACTCCCTTAACTCACTCCGCTGAAGCAGACAGATGTTGATTCTTTTATCACGTCTGTTTTTTGCCAGATTGCAGGCTGTTCAGGAGCAGAGAGTATCTTGAATGTCTTCTGTACAAAGTGGTGATAGTATCTTGAATTTGCATAACGTTTCATTCTTTTTAAAAGCTGCTTTCATTTATGCCATCTTGTTGGAGCCTTACGATAACCATTGAGATAGAAATAATATGTGTTAATTTAATGAGGTAAATGCACAGCCATAAGAAGTCTACTTGGTAACTGACTGCAATTTTGTGTCACCTAGAAGGAGCAGCTTGCGTTGACCCTGTTGTGATCTGTGCTTGCATTTTTTAAGGTTACCCATAGATGGTTGTATTGGAAGAAGGTTTTTTCAAAGCCCTGCTCATATCAGCTTGTTGAAAGAAATGAAGAGGCGCCTGACTGAGGTGGCTGACTTCCACCACGCGGCCAGCAAGGCCCTCCGCGTCCCAGCAGAGGGCAGTGAAGGGCCGCCGGCGAGCCAGCCGGGCCCCGCCGCTTACCTGACCTCCCCGGAGCTGCACACGGAGCTCGTGAGGTTGGCTCTTCAGCCATTTATGTTGTTGTTTGCAGCGCAGGCACCGTGCTGAGCCGTGATTTGTGTTACAAACTGCTGGATGTATTCTTTTAACCTGTTAGATTGAACGCGGAAGGTGGTTTTGGCGACAGGTCTGCATCTTGTAATGTTTTTATGAGACGTGAATGAGCAGGTGCCTGGAGTCTGAGTGAAAATTCTTAAACCAGAGGGCTGGTGTCCTCTTGTATTTCTTTATTCAATATCAGAAACAAATCAAAACAATTGGTCATGGCAGGTTAACAGCTAGAAAAGCCTGCTAGGAGAGCTCTCTGAAAGAAACAGACACCTCAAGCAAGGTTCTTTAAGTGGGGTTCATAGACCCTCAAGGGAATTCTGGGGTCTACTGGGGGTGCAGTGGATTCTTAATCTCCCAAAACTGTTTCTAAAAATAGGCACAATATTTGCATTGCCCCCAAAAGTTAAGAACTCTGAAGTTAGTTTTTGTCCCCTTCACACTGTTCCTCCACCTTTCATCTGTAAGCTTGATATGAACCAGACATTCCTCTTATAAATAAGACTTAATTAATAAAAACGGCTCTTAATAATTAACCCTATATACACAGTGTCTCATTTAGGAAACCCAGCATTTCGACCTAGCACTGAGGCTTCAGGCTTGCTTAACCTCAAAGCCTTAGGGCTTCTCTCAGCCTCCAGAAAGATCTCTCCCCTTCTCTGACTTGCTTAAGGGGAAACTTATTTTTAGCTGGGCTTAACCAGTGGGAAGGCTTTGTCTTTGAATGCTTCAGTCAGCTGGGAAAGTCTTTGATGTTCCCTCCTGCCCTCCTTTGGCACAATGTGAACTTGCCACGGAATCGAGTCAGAAGCTGGGAGGGAGCTCCATCCTGGCCCCTCCCCTTTAAGAGCCTCAAAGCCCTGTCCCTGGTCCCTTCCAGCACAGACTGGTATGGAGATAAAGGCGGTATTTTTCCACTTTATTGAGTAAAGCCCAGTCCCACCACTGGTCCGCCACCTGGTTTATTTGTGTGTAATTCGTGTGCTGTAGACGCTTCTGGTACCTGTTGCTGCAAATAACTGCTTCACATACCAGTGATCTTAACTCGCATGGACTGTGTTCCTTGTAAAACAAAACAAAATAAAAACAAAGGAAACATTATTAAATTTTTAGAGGAGTTTTTACTGGAAAGTCAAGTTTTTTTTTCTTTTTAAGCCTAGCTTTGTTCTCTTCTTGATGAGAACAGGGTGCATACGTGCTGTGAATTCTACTTGTGGTTCCTTGAGGCAGGAGATTGTCATTGAGCCTGAAGCTGGCAGGTTCTTCCAATGCATAAGTTTAAAAGGGCTTTTAATGTTTTCTCTGGAAGACAGAAATTGTGTTTATTTGAATGTTTTTTGAATTTTTCCAAGCACCAAGGCTCGCTGTGACTGGATTGCCCAGGAAAGAAAAGCTCCCAATTCAGATCCTTGGTCTGTGTTAAAATCACCTTCTCCAGTTATTTTTTTCTGTGGACTGTATTTAACCCTACTTTAGTAATACAGTTCCCAGAGCCCTTTCTTCATGCCTTTTGTTTAAGCAATTATTGCATCATGTTGAAATGATTTGTGACCTGTCTTTATCCCCTGCTGGCCCTTCTTGGGCGTGTGATGGTTGCTGGAAACATTTTCTGTATTATGTGCTTCTGAACTTTTATACGGTAGTGCCAGTGTTCCTAGAGATGTAAGGAACTTCATTGGCCTGCACGTATTTTAACATTTTATATAATTATGTTTTTTTTTCTTTTAGGCTCTTCAATGTTTATATATTATGGCTAGAAGATGAGAATTTTCAAAAAGGAGATACGTATATCCCTTCTCTGCCAAAGCACTATGATACCCACAGGCTGGCAAAAGTGATGCAGAATCAGCAGGTAAAAACCACGGCAGTGTCTCTTCCAGCACATCCGGCTGCAGTTTGAATTGGTCACTTTTATAATCTAATGGTGAAACCCCTTATTGATTTGGAAATGAGGTCATTTGGGTGGTCACTGTTGTCGTGGTTTCGTCACTATATAAAATCACTTATGAAAATATGTGATTGTATTGAGGGGATGTTTCCTTTTGAATCTCAAGCCTCGCCCGAATGCTTGAAGCTTGTTCTGGGACCTTCTGCAGCCTCGTAAACACAGCCTTCTTCTGACAGTATTCGTCCTTGTTTTAAATTGTCAGCAGCTGAACACTTTGAAGCAGTCCTTTCTACTCCCATGGCAAGTTCAGTGTAAGGATTTATCAAGAGTCATGCATTACACAGGAAGTTAATAGCAGGAGGAGGTAGGGAGCTCCCATTTGTTCACCTTTGGAGATGACTGACTTGGAGGTGTCACATTTTGGTTGCCCTTCTGGAGACAGTCAGTTCTAGTCTTCTCATATTCTAAGCTGTTCTCTCCCAGATGCACAAACAAAGACATCTATGGTCTTTTTTTAGGCCAAAACTTCTGAGTTTTCTCTAAGCTTTTGATAACCATCGTGTGTGTGTGTGTGTGTGTGTGTGTGTGTGTGTGTGTGTTTGTGTGTATAGACGTATCTCTCCTGTTCAGTTTTTTTTCCCTAGAGGCTGAGCTCTATGGGGCATTGACCTCAGCACTGGGATGAGATGTAGGATCCTCTAAGACTTGAGAGACGTTAATTTGGATCTTTACATCTACTTGCTTCCACATCGTATACACTGTTTCATCTCTGGGTAGATGTCTTTGACTTCCTTCTGTTTTCCTTCCTTCTTCTCTGCTCTGCTTTCTTCTTTTCTTCCCTTCCATCTTTTGCCAAAAAACCAGGCTCTGTAGCCCGATAGTCGAATTGAGAGTTGGAGACAGAGTTTTGGGAGGATAGCAAAGAACAGCTTTGTTGCTTGGCCAGGCAAAGGGAGTCACAGCAGGCGAACGCCCTGAAGACTGTGAGCCCATCTTGGGGTAAGGGTCTTGGGGTTTTATAGAAAAGTGGGAACAGGAGCGTGATAACAGGGTGTGAGCAGGGGCTACATTCCTTTCACCTTGATAGGAACTTGCTGTTGTTACCGAGGAACTGAGGAGGGTCTGCCCATTTTCTTGAGGTTCACGCCATAGCCTTCTTTCAAGACCTCTAGAGTAAAAGGCTAAGTTACCCTAAGAAAAGAGTGCACAGGGAGGGGAGACTGTTAGTCATAAGGTCAGTTTGGCTAGAAGGGCTGGCCTGAACAGCTCAGTGGTCATCTTGTTAGTTTTCTGCCCTTTCACTTCCATGAGTATCTGTTGAATGCCTTTAAGGTGTCAGGTAGCTATTGTTCAAGGTAGAAACAGACACCTGACATAGTCCCTGCTTTCAAGGTGCTTTCGATCAAATAGGGGACTGAATAATGATTATATCTGGTGATAAAGAGTGTGGGAGAGGACCGTGCAGGGTGCTGTGGAAACGGGAATGGCACCTGATTCAGATGGCTGCTGGAGTGTGACCTTTTAACTGAGCCTTGCAAGACAAATGGGAGTCTGTCAGGTTGAAAGGAAGGCATGGTGATGGGGTGTGGCAGAGAGAATGTTATCGGCAGGAAGTCTTTTTCCAAAGTCTTTGGAGAGCTGTTGAAATAGCAGGAGTGATTAAATAAATGGACAAATTAAAACTATATTAAAGAAGAATCAGTGGAATCAATAGGATTTTTAGATTAGGGTTGAACCATAGTAGGGTAGATGAGATGTATAGGGCCTCCCAAGTTCATAGCTTGGGTAGCTGGAGATGCCATGTTGGAGCTAATCCTAGAGTGTTTGATAACATATTTTAAAAGATGAGGATAAAAACCACATAACCCCAAAGCATTTCCACCTGAAAAATATTAATAATAATTTCTTATATCAAATATCTAGACAGTGTTTAAATTTCCAATTATCTCACAAATGTCATCAAAGTATTTTTTTTTTAATTTACTTTTACAGTTTGTTTGAACTGGAGCCTGCATTTTATGATTGGTTGACAGTTCTTATGAATCTGTTTAAATCTGTGGGTTCTCCCCTAATCCTTTTTAATTGCCGTTTATTTGTTGAAGAAACTGGGTAGCTTGTCCACAGAGTTTGCCCACAGTCTGAATTTTGCTGATT